GAATGGAATGTAAATGATAGGGATGAGTTGAGAAGAAGAGCACTCTGATAAGAGAAGACAGAGTGTGATGGGGGAAGTGCAGGAATGGAAATGAGGGAAGATTGTAGATAGAGGACTTAGCAGAAGAGTTAGTGAGCTGCTTGAGGAGACTAAGTAGATAAGCAGGCCATGGAGAGGAACTTTTGTTGGCCATGTCGAAGGCCAAGACATGAACTAGTTAAGTTCATGTCTAAAACTAGTTAAGTTTTAGGTGGGGGTGTGACATATATTTCCCCTGAAACATCAGACTACAACAATGGTGGCTCCAAAATAGTTTTGTAAGAGGGGCTTATGGATGATCATCTGGTTGAGGAAAGTGGGAATCAGGAGAGCTAAAGGAATTGTCTTGAACTGTGTTTTCTTAGATTCTACTATTTGATCTAGATTTATGTTGCCAGGGTAGATTGAGAGAAGTCTGTGTTGAGCTACTTCTGGGCTGCAGGGATCAAGTCAGGCTAGGTAGTAAAGGGGCAGCTTGGAATGAGGGACTCCTTTATGTCCTTCCTTTCAGGGACCTTCCTAGATATCACTGCGTATTTGCTGCTGCCGCCCAGTAGAAATTGCCACCACCCAGAGCTGCTCATTGGCTCCAATAGCTTCGCTGAAGGCAAGGAGTCTCTTGAGCCACTCCAATCCTCACATAATTTACGTGGACTGGGCAGGTTTTTACCATCTTGATTTGACTATTTATAAGTTGTGTACTATACATGGCATTAAAGAAAAATTATTTGTGATCTCTGCAATGTGAGTTATGATTCCTATTCCCTGGACTTGTAATCCTTCACTAGTATCATGATTCTGTGTCTCTGCGAATAAAGGTAGCAATAAAATCATTATACTTGCCGGCAAAATTTATTCCTTGCTAAGTTGTTGGCAAGTTTTTGGCTTAGCCCTTTACAAGCTGATTGAGTTCATTCAAAGACTCTATGTGGATAGTGTTTTTAATTCCCTTTTACATATCAGGAAATTGTGCCTCTGAAAGGTTAAGATATTCTCCAAATGATTATAGAGCTTATAACAGACCTGTCTAGACCTCAAATCTGTGAACACTGAGCATACTGCCAAACTACCCACAAAGTATGATTCCCTCAAAGCAGTTTCTTCAAAGAAAGCACCTGGTTACATATGAAAAACCCCTCACTCCAGTCTCTGGTACCTCCAAGAAAACTTCCTGTCAGTGGCACATGCCTCCTCTCTGGAGAAAAACACTGAAAATGCTCACTATATTTAGTGTCATCCTACAATAATTTTTCTCATAATTTATGACTGACAAATTTTTAAAAATGGAATCAGATTAAGATTTATTTTGGCTTTATAAAGATGTCATCATAAGTGCACAAACCTGAAAAATCCAGTGAATGTTTTGTCTTAGTTCCTGAAACTCCATCCTTTGCTACAACACATGCTAGAAATTGGAAAAATTGGCAAAAGCTGTCAAATTAAATACCCTCCTGAGCCTTCTAGAAGATCATATTTCATTATTTAACACTATATACACAAGGAAAAGACAGTGTAAGCAGAAATAATGACCATTTTCCTGCTCTGAAGGGTACAAAGCCAGGGTGTGCCATCATGCTCTTGACCCCACAAATTTTCATTCCTTAGGCAGCAATCCATAACTTGTTGCACCTTGAGCATTTGGCCTTGAAAGGCTATGTTTACTTCATGAACTTTTTTTGAGGGGAAAGCTTGATTTCTGGCAATGGAGTATCTGTCCATCTGTCCGTTGGTTTTCTCTATTGCTTTCTCAGCATGGAAGATTTGTTATATCAGTAATTGTCATAGACCTTCCTCCAAAAGCTACATGACAGCATTACAGTGAAGCAACGGTGTTGAGAACTCTGTAGGAGGACTTTATTTTGTTGCCATCATAGCAAACTCCAGGTGCATAAAGGCAAAAATGTGGGCTATATGTGTGTCTACATGACTCAAGGGAACTACACAAAAAGCAAAGAAAAAGGGAAGGGACTTTTTCAATTATATTACAATCATCATGGCCTTCAGTGTTATTTGATTAGCCTTGGTTGGGATGAGGAAGGGAAGGACAAAAAACAAGCAATGTGACAAAGTGAGAGACACTTGATGACATTAATCAGATTTGAAACAATCAATTTATTGTTTTCTTTTTTTCTCTGTTTCTGAAGCAGCTTTGGGACGTGTTGGTACTCCACCAGAGAGCTCGTCTTCACTCTGTGGAAGGAGCAAATGGTTAGAGGAATGGGTCAGCTCCCATATCATAATTTGAATCTGGCTCTTAGGAGGACTGGAAATAAAGTGGGATAAGCAGCAGAGAATGGCCTGCAGATTGGCACCATGCAACTATTGATTGAGCATATTACACAAAAGAAAAAGCAAAGGAGTTGACTAGCACCTAGAATCCATGTATAATTTAATGCAAATGTAATCATTTAGTGCACATTTAATTTTAGGTACAGATTGAATTTGTACTCTGACAATTCCACCATCGCTATATATTTGAAAAAACACTTAATAGGAGACAGGGTAAGAGCAGAGTAGTAGGCAACAAAGGAACTTATGTCTTCTCTTCCAAAAAATACATGGGTTTCTCAGGCTCCAGGAAGAGTGATGTTTCACACTGCTCCCTAGGGACATCAGAGGATTCAGAATGCAGACATCTAGACTCTTCAGATAAACCACAATAATGAGCTACTACTGACACAGAACTGGAGATGACCTGTGGTCAGCAGAGGGTACTGAGAGAAAGAATAAGAGACACAGAGGAGCAGAGAAAAGAGACATACACTAGGACCACACATATAGGAGGAATGGGGTCTGAGACTGAGATGATAGGAAGCCTCTTCTAAACTGACAAGATAAATGAAGATAATAGTCACGTAGGTCAGGATACAGGGACTATCTGGATATTAGATTGAATGATCCAATCTTACCTAAGTGCAAACACAACTTCCATGCAAGTTCAGGGTCTTCTTCACAGAGATGCTTGATAAATTTTTGGGAAGCTCGGGGTCCTTTCCCAATAACGAAGTCAATCAAGACTCGAGCCTTATCCATGACTGTGGAATTTTCATATCTCACTTTGTACATCTCCTCTTGGCTAATTACTCCATCCTCTAATAGGTCATCCAGCAAGGCATTTATTGTACCCTCACCCACTGAATGGATAAACAAATTCCTCTTCTTCCTCAGGGTTTTGTCTATTGGAAATACAAAGATTCCTCAAATAATGAACACAGCAATTCCCCAGCATAGAAGCAATCATTTTAGTCTTTCCTAGCCAAACTTTCTCCATTACAGGGTACACTTGTCTCAAGAAATGACATACATTTGGATCTTGAGATACCTACTTGACATAATTCTTTCTGATCCTAGCATTACCTACGTGTTGTCACTGGGTGACCTGGGACACTTGATTTCACGATTTTTCTGTTAACCTCCTGAATATCAGAATTCATTCTGCTGTAACACACCCCAATTTCTTGAACTCTGAAGGGGGTTTACAGGCTGTTCCCTCTGGGAGCAAGACCTGCCAATACCCATCCTGTGCCCATTCTCACCTTCGGCTAACTCATATCTCTTCAAATTCAGATAAGACTAGCAAAATCATAGCAGAAACCAAGAGAGTCCTAGGGTATTCCTGGCATTATTTTTCCTTCAAAAGATGCAGCGAAAGGCTGGCTGACTTTCTTCCCTCTCACCTTCTCTCTTCCCTTTTCCCCCTCTAACTCAAAGCTGCTCACATATATCTTCAGCAAGCCTACTGAGAATGGCAATCCTTTCCTAAACTAATTCCTCCCCAATACCTCTCCCCTTAGAGTGGGAAAGACTCACCAGCCATGGCTCCTCACTGGCGTTGGGTGTACAAGTGAAACAGCAGGCAAGGTGGCCCTATGTTTTTCAGCAGGATGAGTTTACATATTGAGAAATAACAATTACACCTACACGTTTTATAATTAAGAAATATTAGTCACCACCATTCATCTCTACAACTCCTTCATCTTGGAAAACTGAAACTATATATCCATTAAGCAATACTTTCTCCTTTTTTGCCTTCTACCAGCCCCTGGAATCCAACCTTCAACATTCTGTCTCTATGAATTTGACTACTCTAGGTAACTGATATAAGTGGAATCACACAGTATTTGTCTTTCAGAGACAGACTTAATTTCACTTAGTATAATGTCCTTCAGGTTCATCAGTGTTGCTGCATGGGTCACAATTCCTTTCTTTTTAAGGTTTATTAATATTCTCTTTTATGTATGTACATTTTGTTTACCTGTTCATCTAACAAGGAACACAGGTTGCTCCCACCTTTTGGCTATTGTGAATAATGCTTCTATGAATGTAGGTGTACAAATATGACTTTGAGACTCTGCTTTCAATTATTTTAGATATAAACCCAGAAATTGCCAGGTAATAGGGTAATTTTATTTTTAATTTTGTGTGGAAGCACTATATTGTTTTCCATAGCAGCTGTGCTATTTTACATGACCACATACAATGCACATGGGTTCTAATTTCTCTGCATCCTCAATAATACTTGTTATTTTTTATTCTTTTGATAGTGGCCATGCTGATGGGTATGTGATGAACTAAGACTGTTTAACTCTTTTCCACCATGCTGCACCCAGACTCTGGGCTGTCTCCAAACACAAGAAGGGTATGTATTCCTGTGAAGCACTTTTGCATTTTGGAAGGAAAATGTGTTTTTGTTTGTTTGTTTGTTTATGTATTTATTTATTTATTTTATTTCAGCATGTTATGGGGGTACAGATGATTGGGTTACGTATG